ACGAGGAGACCTAGCGAATTTGCAAATTGCTCACTAGTGGAGGCCGTAGATGTAATACTACAAGAGGAGGACGAGACTATTAATGTCAGGGATCCGTTGGAAGCCTGCTTGATGAATCTGGAAAATGTGGATGGTGAGGAGTTGGCAGAGTAGGACATCGCTCTTGAAGGTCAAGGGTTCTAGAAAAGGGAACCCGAGTTCAAGCCCCTTCACTTAGAGGAAAGAACAACACCACCTGCGATACCATCGATAGAGGAGCCACCACAGTTGGACCTGAAATCGCTTCCAGCGCATCTCAGGTACGCTTTCTTAGGGCCTAATTCTACTTTACCTATTATTATATCATCCGCTTTGCTAAATTGTACAGGTAAGCAATACTCAATACAAGTTTACAAGAATTATGACTACTATTGGTTGGACCACGACCGACAAAAAGGGTGTCTCGCCCACCTCAGGAGGCGCGACCGAGCTCAATCAAGTGAACCCAACTGATCAAGCCTTATTAACACTTTTTACCCAACATCAATACGATTAAGGAGAAACGCTTTTTTCCGTTTATTTAGACAATAAGTAAAGATCGAACATTCCCATTGTGGTTCATTTTTATATCACAAATCTTAAATCATGGCTAAGTTCCAATTTTCATACAATTATAGTTTAGAAGATATAGAGTATAGAGTTACAACACAGTTCATTGACCATCCAACATCCGTACATAACCCACACAAACTCTACGGAGTCTCTATGGAACAAAAGACAAATTATGACAACGCCGACAACAAGTCCTGGCTATACCTCAAAAGTGGAAGTCTACACAACAAAAGATTACAACATAACCCCTTGAAGGAAAAAGGGCTCACCAAGACTTGAGTGAGGCACACTCCGCACGCGCGATCTGGACACTGTCCCTATAGAGAGCCACCTACATTCATTTAAAAATGTAGTGCCCCCGGCAAAAGGGACGTTAGTACCATGGATAGTACTAGTATGTATAACTAAATCATCTAGTAGAAAAGAACTTATCATAAAGAATAAAGGAAATCAAAAAGTATAACGAAAGCTTAAAACGATCACCACATCATCAAATAAAGAATATATCAACTTTCACATAATTTTCCGTTGCTTTTAGTTGGGGCATTTCATACATTATCATTTTTCAACAATACCACCACTATCTTGAGCAGAGTCGATCTCTGACCAACGACCGACTAGGTTTCTCATTTGAGACATATACCTTCAATCACAATCTCATTTTCCTTAGCATAAATTCATATTCAGCACAATACCACATGTATGCGGCATGGCACCCGATCTCGGCCCGATTGGCTTGGGCCGTTATCCAAGCGTTGTTCCTTTCTCATTATCATCTTCGTTTCAATCTTTGTTTCAACATATGTCATTCATATGCACTTGGCCACAACAATCACATCATTTTTGGCACTAGGCCACATTTCACATCAATTCCCAATTTCAATGTTAGCTTTGCAATTTAGGACACTAGGTGCACACAAGAAGCAATTTAAATTGTAAAGCATAGATAAGATTTTCAACATAGATGGCAAAACAAAGGCATTTCAATCTTGATTTAAGTCTAAGCATTTCAATACATGATTCATATTCCCCGACCTTTTAAGTTATCAAGAATAGAGACATTGATCATTGAGACACACCTTTCACGTATATAAATTGCAACACCAATTCATGTGAAACAACAATCAATACATCAATCCAACTTTAATCTTACCGCATTTACACAAAACCAACGGAGCTCAATTTCTAAAAAGGAGGGTTTTAGCATACATACCTCAATAGAGCTTTCCTTAAATTCTTACGAAATTTCGGGACTCTTAGCACTTCATCTAATTTATAGGAATTACAAATAGAAACAAGAATTAAGAACATGATTAAATTCTAGCTCATTTGAGCATATATCAAGCACTAAGTGGCATTGTGATCTTAGGACCCATTTTGTGAGAGATTTTTATCTCTTCACCCCAATTGCTATCTTTAAATACAACCTCCCCATACACTATTGTCACTCACATGCAAGGTTATCAACCCTAGTATCCATGAAACCACTTGCTAATCACTATTTTAATAGAAATTTTGAAATCATAAATTAGGGACATTCTTACCTCTTAGGTGAATGACCTAGTATTTCACTTGATAACTTCAAGGATTGGGGCAAGAAATTGAGTTAAGGCTTGGTGGGGATTCACTTTCTCCCTCTAGAAGTCTTGTTCTCAATTAAATGCAGTAAAAATAACATAAAAAGGGTCTAATGGGGGTGTTTTTAATGGGATGGGGTCGGGTTTAAAATAGTAGAAAATAGGAGCTCCTGACCACTATATCTGCGATCGCATAATGGACATGCGGCCCGCAAAAGGGACCGCAAAAAGGCTTATAAACCCTGAAACAAACTGGCCGTGATGCAACAGAATGCGGTCGTGCATACCTGTTCTGCGGTCGTATAATGCACCGCAGAACTGCCCCTCACAAAATTTTAAGGGACTCATGCGATGACTTATGCGGCCCCACATATTAATTGCGATCGCATAATGGGCCGCATATTTGACCTCAAAAAATTACCGATCAAACTGTCTGACTCTATGGGCGACTATAAACCGCAGTAGCTGTTATGCGACCCATATGATCGCATATATACAACTTTTCTGAAAACATTTTCCTTAACTTTTTAATGTCATAGATCAGTCCAAAGTCCGAAATGGCACTACAAGCTTTCGATTTTTGAGTAGAAATTTCACGGGGCGTTACAAAAGGGTATCAACCTTGCATTTTGTATGCACACGATCCTCTTGGAAAAAGTGGACAAACCTTCCAGAGAACATCAACGAAGGTTGAACCCGGAATATTAAAAGGGGTGGGAAAAGGAAGTGATCAAATGGTTAAATTCGGTTATCATCTTTCCCCATCTCTGACAGCAATAGGTCAGCCATGTTTAGTGTGTACCCAAAGAGGGAGGAATAACCGTCGTACAAAAATGAGAATAAGAGTTGATCTCGACTCGTACTGTCACAGGATGGCGGATGCATGGCATTTATCGGAAATTGAAAACACCAAAACCGGAAGGACCACATTTTCCCTTGCCTATTCATGTGACCAATGCTGGACAGGTTGGCTAGGTGATCTCACTTCTGTCTCTTAGATGGATATTCGGGGTACAATCATATCCCAATAGCCCCCGAAGACAGAGATGAAACATCATTCACCTATCCGTATGACATCTTTGCCTTTCAGAGAATGCCTTTTGGATGTTAGCCATTTTCACGGACATGGTTGAAGACATTATGGAGGTATTTATGGATGATTTCTCCATGGTGGGGGATTCATTCAAGGATTGTCTTCACAATTTAAGAAGAGTGCTCAGAAGATGTGTTGGAGACAAATTTAATGTTGAATTGGGAGAAGTGCCATTTTATGGTAGAAGAAGGGATTGTCTTGGGAATCCGAGTGTCAAATAAAGGAATTGAGGTTGACCATTCTAATGTTAACGTGATTGAGAAGTTGCCACTGCCCACTTTGGTCAGCGAAGTGAGAAGTTTCCTTGGGTACGCCGGGTTCTACAAGAGATTCATAAAAGATTTCTTTAAGATTGCTAACCCTTTATGCAAAATCTTTAAAAAGGATCAGCCCTTTGTGTTTTCTAATGATTGCAGGTTACCATTTGAGGAGCTGAAGAAAAGATTGGTGACTGCACCCATCATTGTTGCACCCATTGTTGCACCCATCTGGGAGAAACCGTTCGAGTTCATGTGCGACGCAAGTGACTATACTGTAGGAGCAGTCTTGGGGCAGCGAAAGGATAAGCTCATACACCCAATTTGTTATGCAAGCAGAATGTTAAGTGGTGCATAACTCAATTACACCGTGATGGAAAAAGAGATGTTGGCTGTAGTTTTTGCATTCGACAAATTTAGGTCGTACTTGATTGGTTCAAAAGTTATTGTTTATACTGACTATGCAGCAATTAGGTACTTGATAGCAAAGAAGGTGTCAAAGCCACGCTTGATCCGCTGGGTTCTTTTGCTACCAGAATTTGATATGAAGATTTGTGACAGAAAAGGGACAGAGAACCAGGTAGCAGACCACCTCTCAAGGTTGGAAGGAGCTGAAAAGAAGGTAGAGGTTGAAGATATAACAAAGACATTCCCGGATGAACAATTACTAGTAGTGACAATGAAGGAGGCATCATGGTATGCTGATATTACTAATTATTTAGAAAGCGGTATTGTACCTTATGAACTCTCTTCAATTCAAAAAAAAAAAGTTCTTTCACGATTGTCGGTTTTATTATTGGGATGAACCTCTACTGTCTAGAATATGTGTAGTTAACTTGATCCGGAGGTGTATCCCCGAGAAAGATTAACCTTCTGTTTTGCAGGCTTGCCATGCTTCACCATATGATGGACACATTGGAGGGGTATTCGGACAACAGCTAAGGTGTTAGGAAGTTCGGGTTTGTATTGGACAAACTTCTTTACGAAGGATCGACCCTATTCTATGGTAAGTCGACCGAAAACGGACGACGGCAAACTANGCAATGGGGACCAACAGCAAACCAGCAGTACAGACCAAACCAGCCACAACACAACCCCAATCCAGGAGGAGCACGACCACAGGGCCAAGTCGTACCTTATCAAAGGCAACATGGCTATAATCAGCAGCACCAGCAATAGTTGACCTACCAACCACCTCATCAACAACATGTGTAACATGATCGAAATCAGGGGTATGCTGCATCAACTCATTGGGACAAATGGAAAGATGCAAGAGAAGTTAGCTGCACATGGTTCAGCAATCAAAGGCATTGAAACTCAATTGAGACATCTATTTATGGCCTTGAACAATCACCCACAAGGAAAATTGCCTGCAGATACAAACATTAATCCAAAGGAGCAGAACCCATCATGGCAATGAGTCTCAGGAATGGGAGAGATTTAGACAGGGAGCAAGAAGTTGCTCAATCTAGGTGAGATGCAATGCCAACTACTCCAGCTACTCCAGTTACATTAGAGACAGATGAGTCAGCAGAGCTCACCGAGGTTGTAATCGAGCAAACACAGGTTGACAAGGGTAAGGAGAAGGAAGGTGAACAACTCCCAGAACAGGTAGTAGAAAAAGCTTCCAGCAAAGAAAAGACACAAAATAGTGGGCAGAGGTTGATTCCTGCACCATTCCCTCAGAGGTTGGAAAAGCAAAAGAATGATGATCCATATAGGAAATTCATGGAAATGCTCAAACAAATTCAATTGAGTATTCCACTGCTAGATGCTTTGAGGGAAATGCTAGGTATGCAAAAACGATGAAGGACCTAATGTCGGGAAAATTTGACTTCCAGGACTTGTCCACTGTAACTCTGACACTGACCTGCAACGCGATAGTGACGAGGCCTATGGCTCAAAAGGTATTTGATCCAGTTAGTTTCACTATCCCATGCACCATTGGGAGATATGCTTTTGCTAAAGCATTGTGTGACTTAGGAGCTAGTATAAACTTGATGCCCTTGGCAATCTATAGAAAACTGGGCATTGGCAGAGGTAGTCCGACCTCAATATTGCTGCAACTGGCTCATCGCACAGTCAAAAGACCTATAGGAGTTCTTGATGATGTTTTTGTTCAAGTGGGGAAATTTGTATTCCCTGCAGACTTTGCCATTCTTGACTGTCAAGTGTATAAAGAGATACCAATCATTTTGGGCAGGCCATTTTTAGCCACTGGGAGGGCATTGATTGATTATGAGACTGGAGAATTGAAAATGAGGTTGAACAATGAACAGATAATATTCGATGTTCAACAATCTATGAGGAGACCTAGCGAATTTGAAAATTGCTCACTAGTGGAGGCCGTAGATGTAATTCTACAAGAGGAGGATGAGACTATTAATGTCAGGGATCCGTTGGAAGCCTGCTTGATGAATCTGGAAAATGTGGATGGTGAGGAGTTGGCAGAGTAGGTCATGGCTCTTGAAGGTCAAGGGTTCTAGAAAAGGGAACCCGAGTTCGAGCCCCTTCACTTAGAGGAAAGAACAACACCACCTGCGATACCATCGATAGAGGAGCCACCACAGTTGGACCTGAAATCGCTTCCAGCGCATCTCAGGTACGCTTTCTTAGGGCCTAATTCTACTTTACCTATTATTATATCATCCGGTTTGCTAAATGTACAGGTAGAGCAACTCATACAAGTGTTACAAGAATGTAAGACTACTATTGGTTGGACCACGACCGACAAAAAGGGTGTCTCGCCCCAACCTCAGGAGGCGCGACCGGCGCTCAATCAAGTGAACCCAACTGATCAAGCCTTATTAACACTTTTCTACCCAACTCAATACGATTAAGGAGACCATGCTTCCGTTTATTTAGACAATAGTAAAGATCGAACATTCCCATTGTTGGTTCATTTTTATATCACAAATCTTAAATCATGGCTAAGTTTCCAATATTTCATACAATTATAGTTTAGAAGAATTAGAGTATAGAGTTACAACACAGTTCATTGACCCATCCAACATCCGTACATAACCCACACAAACGTCTACGGAGTCTCTATGGATACAAAAGACAAATTATGACAACGCCGACAACAAGGTCCTGGCTATACCTCAAAAGTGGAAGTCTACAACAAAAGATGTACAACATAACCCTTTGAAGGAAAAAGGGGCTCACCAAGACTTTGAGTGAGGACACTCCGCTACGCGCGATCGACACTGTCCGTTATAGAGCCACCTACATTCATTTAAAAATGTAGTGCCCCCGGCAAAAGGGACGTTAGTACCATGGAATAGTACTAGTATGTATAACTAAACACAATCTAGTTAGAAAGAACTTTCATACAAGAATAAGGGAATCAAAAGTATAACTCGAAAGCTTAAAACGATCACCACATCATCAAATAAAAGAATCATACAACTTTCACATAATTTTCCGTTGCTTTTAGTTTGGGGCATTTCATACTATTCATCATTTTTCACAATACCACCACTATCTTGAGCAGAGTTCGATCTCGACCCGACCGACTAGGTTGTCTCATTTGAGACATATACCTCAATCACAATCTCATTTTCCTTATGCAGAATTCAGTATTAGCACAATACCACCATGTATGCGGCATGGCACCCGATCTCGGCCCGATTGGCTGGGCCGCCTTACCAAGGCGTTGTTCCTTTCTCATTATTCATCTCGTTTCAATCTTTGTTTCACATATGTCACTTCATATGCACTTGGGGCCACAACAATCACATCATTTTTGGCACTAGGCCACATTTCACATCATTCCCAATTTCAATGTTAGCTTTGCAATTTAGGACAATAGGTGCACATAAGAGCAATTTAAATTGTAAGCATAGATAAGATTTCACATAGATGGCACAACAAAGGCAGTTTCAATCTTGATTTAAGGTCTAAGCATTTCAATACATGATTCATATTCCCCGCACCTTTTAAGTTATCAAGAATAGCACATTGATCATATTGAGACACACCTTTCACGTATATAAAGTTGCAACACCAATTCATGTGAAACAACAATCAATACATCAATCCAACTTTAATCTTACCGCATTTACACAAACACCAACGGAGCTCAATTTCTAAAAAGAGGGGGTTTTAGCCATACATACCTCAATAGAGCTTTCCTTAAATTCTTACGAAATTTCGGGACTCTTAGCACTTCAATCTAATTTATAGGAATTACAAATAGAACCAAGAATTAGAGACATGATTAAAATTCTAGCTCATTTGAGCATATTATCAAGCACTAAGTGCGCATTGTGATCTTAGGACCATTTTGTGAGAGATTTTTATCATCTTTCACCCCAATTGCTATCTTTTTAAATCACAACCTCCCCATACACTATTGTCACTCATGCATGCAAGGTTATCAACCCTAATATCCATGAACCCACTTGCTAATCACTTATTTTAATAGAAATTTTGAAATCATAGATTAGGGCACAAGTTCTTACCTCTTAGGGTGAAGACCTAGTAATTTCACTTGATAAGATTCAAGGATTTGGGGCAAGAATTGAGTTGAAGCTTGGTGGGGATCACTTTCTCCCTCTAGAAGTCTTGTTCTCACATTAAATGCAGTAAAATAACATAAAAAGGTTCTAATGGGGTGTTTTTAATGGGATGGGGTCGGGTTTTAAAAGTTAGAAAATAGGAGCTCTGACACAATCTGCGATCGCATAATGGACATGCGGCCCGCAAAAGGGACCGCAAAAATGGCTTATAAACCCTGAACAAACTGGCCGGGTATGCAACAGGAATGCGGTCTGCATACCTGTTCTGCGGTCGTATAATGCACCGCAGAACTGCCCCTCACAAAATTTTAAGGGGATTATGCGATGACTATGCGGCCCACATATTAATTATGCGATCGCATAATGGGCCGCATAGTTGACCTCAAAATTACCATCAAACTGTCTGACTCTATGGCGACTATACAGTCCGCATAGCTGTTATGCGACCCCATAATGGATCGCATAATACACTTTTCTGGAAAACATTTTCCTTAACTTTTTAATGCATAGATCAGTCCAAAGGGTCCGAACTTGGCACTACAAGCTTTCGAGTTTTTGAGTAGAAATTTTCACGGGGGCTTACAAAGGGTATCAACCCAACATTTTGTATGCACACGATTCTCTTGGAAGAAGTGGACAAACCTTCCAGAGAACATCAACGAAGGCTGAACCCGAATATTAAAAGGGGTGGTGAATAAGGAAGTGATCAAATGGTTAAATGCGGGTATCATCTTTCCCCATCTCTGACAGCAATTGGGTCAGCCATGTTTAGTGTGTACCAAAGAAGGGAGGAATAACCGTCGTACAAAATGAGAATAACGAGTTGATCTCGACTCGTACTGTCACAGGATGGCGGATTTGCATGGATTATCGGAAATTGAACACAACCACCCGGAAGGAACATTTTCCCTTGCCATTCATTGACCAAATGCTGGACAGGTTGGCTAGGTGATCTCACTTCTGTCTCTTAGATGGATATTCGGGGTACAATCATATCCCAATAGCCCCCGAAGACAGAGATAAAACATCATTCACCTATCCGTATGACATCTTTGCCTTTCAGAGAATGCCTTTTGGATGTTAGCCATTTTCACGGACATGGTTGAAGACATTATGGAGGTATTTATGGATGATTTCTCCATGGTGGGGGATTCATTCAAGGATTGTCTTCACAATTTAAGAAGAGTGCTCAGAAGATGTGTTGGAGACAAATTTAATGTTGAATTGGGAGAAGTGCCATTTTATGGTAGAAGAAGGGATTGTCTTGGGAATCTGAGTGTCAAATAAAGGAATTGAGGTTGACCATTCTAATGTTAACGTGATTGAGAAGTTGCCACTGCCCACTTCGGTCAGCGAAGTGAGAAGTTTCCTTGGGTACGCCGGGTTCTACAGGAGATTCATAAAAGATTTCTTTAAGATTGCTAACCCTTTATGCAAAATCTTTGAAAAGGATCAGCCCTTTGTATTTTCTAATGATTGCAGGTTACCATTTTAGGAGCTGAAGAAAAGATTGGTGACTGCACCCATCTGGGAGAAACCATTCGAGTTCATGTGCGACGCAAGTGACTATACTGTAGGAGCAGTCTTGGGGCAGCGAAAGGATAAGCTCATACACCCAATTTGTTATGCAAGCAGAATGTTAAGTGGTGCATAGCTCAATTACACCGTGACGGAAAAGGAGATGTTGGCTGTAGTTTTTGCATTCGACAAATTTAGGTCGTACTTGATTGGTTCAAAAGTTATTGTTTATACTGACTATGCAGCAATTAGGTACTTGATAGCAAAGAAGGAGTCAAAGCCACGCTTGGTCCGCTGGGTTCTTTTGCTACCAGAATTTGATATGAAGATTTATGACAGAAAAGGGACAGAGAACCAGGTAGCAGACCACCTCTCAAGGTTGGAAGGAGCTGAAAAGAAGGTAGAGGTTGAAGATATAACAAAGACATTCCCGGATGAACAATTACTAGTAGTGACAATGAAGGAGGCATCATGGTATGTTGATATTGCTAATAATTTAGGAAGCGGTATTGTACCTTATGAACTCTCTTCAATTCAAAAAAAAAAAGTTCTTTCGCGATTGTCGGTTTTATTATTGGGATGAACCTCTACTGTTTAGAATATGTGTAGATAACTTGATCCGGAGGTGTATCCCCGAGAAAGATTAACCTTCTGTTTTGCAGGCTTGCCATGCTTCACCATATGATGGACACATTGGAGGGATTCGGACAACAGCTAAGGTGTTGGAATCGGGTTTGTATTGGCAAACTCTTTCAAGGATGCCCATTCATGAGTGCCAAAGGACAGGCAACATATCTCGTCACGAGATGCCGATGACTACAATTCAAGAGGTGGAGGTATTCGACATGTGGGGGATTGACTTTATGGGGCCATTCGTCAGCTCGTATTGTAACAAATATATACTAGTGGTAGTTGACTATGTCTCCAAATGGGTTGAAGTTGTGGCTCTCCCAACCAATGATGCAAAGGGGTTGACAAGCTTTCTAAAGAAAAACATCTTCACACGTTTTGGCACACCGGAGAGCTATAATCAATGATGGTTGTTGACACCCAATTTTTCCCTATACATATTTCAATATGCAAAATACCTTCAAAATAGCTTATATATGCATATATAGGTATGTCCAAATATTTTATTATTTTTTCATAATTTTTAAAGGTTTAAATCGATTTATTTCCCTTTTTCATCCATAAAATCCCAATAATTATGTCCAAAATTATTATTTTTGATGATTCATTTATTGGATGTTTATATTTATGCCAAAATATGGCTAAGGTAATTTTTTGCATATTTTTACAATTTTATTTAGTATTTTTTAAAGCTAATTGCATATAATTGCAATATTAGCCTTTTTAAGATTTAATTGTGTTTTATATTCATCAAATTAAGCCTATATTTTTAAATTGTTGCTTAC